CATTGAAGTCATTGAACAGCCGGCACAAGCTCTCTGACGCCGAAGGCAATGGTATGATGCAAGACGAGGCACGCTCGCCCATGTCGGATGCGAAGACTGGCCTGAAGTCAGAAGGTTTGAAGGTGGGAGGCCGCAGCACTGCAATCCCCAGATCGAAATTCTGAAGCCTCGGGTTCCTGCCTTGTGTCAGGATGGATCTCCCGATACCGCCGAAGCCGTGGCGTCCAGGCCCACAGAGCAGAGCAGGCCAAGAAGCTGGCGGAAGAGATCCTCTTTTTTGTCAAAGGCTTTTTGTTGAGAGCTGAGCTTGGAGCCTGGGGATTTCACCGATCAAGCCGAGTCAAGCCACAACTTTGCAGCAGTCGCCCGTCGGTACCACCTCTCATCGTAGTACCATGGCACCTGCTGCAGGTGTCGTTTCCTCTGTACAGCTTACATTGTGTTTTCGCTTGTCTTTATTCCAATCACAGAGACTCTCGCTTTATCAGTGCATCTGGCACCCTGTGCATGGGATGTGGACTGTGCAGAGAGCTTGCATGCCCTCGTCCATGCTCTATTTCACGACTGCACACACTCCACGGCATGTTCTTGCAGTGCTCTAGTCTTTATGCCAGTGCTTTCGAGCCTGAAAGATACCTGGTGGCACCGGGAGGTCCTCGCAAATGTGCGGAGCACCTTGTGATTCTGCGAAGAAGGACTGGGCGAAAGGCACTGCCCAAACCTCATTCCTGCATCCAGTAAAGGACAACTGCTGTCAAGCGGCAGGATGCAGGCAAAGTCCTGCGGGCGGTCCATCAACTACCAAATCTAGTCTTAAACTTAATTCCCCCTGTTTGCATGAAAATGCTTGGCATCGTTGCTGCCAGCTTCTGGTGAACTGGCTTGAATCGGTTAGCACGCAAGCACCGGATCGAAACTGTCAGACCTCGGGCCCTACCAGTAGTGATCCCAGGAAGCTCTCCAAAAGCTTGCGAGCCCTCTTGAGTCCGTGCCAGGCCCCTCCAGCTGCAGAACATTGTAGAACCACTGCTCGGTGCCACGGTTTACAGTGTCCAAAACGAATGTCACAAAGCATCAGAATTTTTGTTTGCCTGAGGTTGCTCGAGCTCAGAGCTTGAGTTGCTTCATGTCGCTGCAGCAAGCCCGCCTTGAAATGGGTGCTGCCGAAGCTTGTGGATTCGATTTGCCCTGGCACAGGAAACTCTGGCACGTGCTTGTCGCGGAGCATTTCACACTCACCCCTACACCTTGATGATCCAAAAAACTCCCATTCTCGCTCATTCAGAAACTATCGCCAACGAACACATTCTACAGCTCACAGCGAGCGAGCTTGTGAATCTTACTGTCCACATCTCGCTCTACAGACCAAGTGTGCGGCCCTGAAACACTCAAGACAGGGGGAGTATGGGGCGATGCTTCATCAGGACGCAAAAAAGGGTGGGGGTTCAGATCACAGACAGGGGCCTTTTCTTCTTTCTGCCTGCGTCGAAGAAGTGCTTCCTCCCATGCTCCTGGCGATGCACGCTAGCGCGAAGAGTTTGCATGTAACCGGCTCAGTCCTCTTGAAACTGAGGCATTCTCAATACGGGTAGCAAAGATGAATCTGTCCTCTTCTCTTCCCATTTCTACTCGAAACCTAGCGTGCTAGTTACAGTGTACATGTAGTAGAGCCGCGTCTACACCATAACATGGTAGCAACTGCACTTTCCAGCTGAACACAGCACAGTTTACAGTAAGTCCCTGTAGGTCCCGCAGTGTACCAAAGCCCTCAAAATGCAGTCCAAGTCTCTGCTGGCCATGTCCCATCGCTCGGCCAAGTCCTTCCAGTAGCTCCAAGCGAATTGTGACCACAGGCATTTAAATTCGATCCTCCCTACCACGCTCTGGCCCAGGCGTTCTGCCCACAAGCCAAACGAGTTAGCATGCCCACAGGTATCTCAAATAAGCATCTCAAAAATACATGCCGGAAGCATTCCAATTTTTGCTTTTGAGAATGCAACCTGCATGCTTATTGGAATGCTGGTCGGGTGATTTTTGTATGTGTGTGGATCGTGCGCATCCTGATTTGGTGTTGGACGGAGTCGGACGGAGTTGAGACGCCGGGAAGTCGAAAGCCGACAGACGATCATGATAGTTCGGTGCAGCTGCACATTGGGATGGGCTTTGTGGTCTCGGCCTCACCCAGCCGCCGAAGGCAGCCATAGGTAGCCTCTCCGATCGACAAACAGGCACTTATCTTGGCCACAAGATGCCACAAGATTCAACTGGTGGTCTGCTGCGAACCTATTGTCATTGATTTGTGCAGGTTTCGTAGCATTCGGGCGATTATCGCGCTTCCGGGGTCCACTGGTAGTTTGCGAAAACTTCAGCCAGAGTACAGGAAAGGGAACTTGCGGAGCGGGCGTCTGAATGAAATTTTACGCACAGTCTGCGTGCCACTATCGCGTTTTCCCAAGCAAGCTTTACAGTTCGTCAGCATAATGAGGCTGAGGTCCTCTGCGCATCTCATGTTTTCCGAGACACTGATTGAGACCGATATAGCACAGGCAACCACAAGCTCCAGTGCAAAAAGATCTGACTCGCAGCGGCCGGAAAACATACGGTTCAAGCTGATGTTGCGGATTAAGCATGCCTTCCAGTATGCCGTCTCGAGTTGGTGGAACTTCTGCACACACACACACACACACGAATCTCGAAGTCATCCGAAACCGAAACGCAGCGATGGGGCTTTAAATCGTGCCGGCTCAAATCCGCCTAGCCATCACTGGGTCCTCCTGCAACGTGTCCAGATGCTCTTTCGGGCCTAAGCTGCGCGGCAAAGACTGTGCAAAGACTGTGCGCTCGAAGAGCTCAGCTCAAAGCAAGCATCCCCGGCCGAACAGGTTCGGCCATGTCGTGGGTCGTGCTCGAAGCACAAGTTCTTGGCCTGCGGCAGGCAGGCTGGCTCCGCAAAAGCGCAAGTAGCCACAGAATGCCTTGCAGCCTTCTCTCAAGGCACGGCTGCTGAAATTGCTGGCAGCGCAGAAAATCGCAGAAGCAGCTTCTGAATGCACCTCCTATGGCAGTCCTATGACATCAACAGAACAGGTGGTCGCCAAACAAAGCTCCAGTTTCATGGGCATGGAGCAATGTATCGGATCAAACTCTGGGCGATTCTGGACGAATTACCATTCCGGATGACAAGAGCACTAGCAGTTGGCAGAAGCTGCGGTCCAAATGCTTTCACATGGAGCAGTGACTTCTAATTACCACAGTTTCCTTTCCCGCGCCGCCATTCGCAGAGTCTCAGAGGACCGTCACATCCGCGAACTACCACACTCGCAGAGAATTTCAGTGCGCTGTTCTGGTTGCTCACACAACTCATGAAGTCATGAATGGGAACACAATCGCCAGACCAAGCAAAGCCAGCAAGCAAAGAAGCCCAGAGGGAAAGGGAGTCACTTCGCGCTGTATTTCCAAAATCCATTCGCTGTCTTCGCGGGAGACTGCATTCGACAGCAGCTTGTGGTGCTGGTTCAGGTACGCCTCCTCCTCTGCTGATATCTGCCTTCGCACTATGGTGGCTCCCCAATAGCTGTGGGCACTGTGGGAGGACCGGACGCTGGCACGGTTACGCTTCGCCTCCTGGTTACATTTCCGCAGGCAGAAATCCTCGAGCGTCTTGACGGAGACCGTGCAGTCCAGGTGTCGCTGATCTAGAGGCGTCCCGCACTCCATCAGCCAGCGGCGTATGCGCAGAAAAGAGAGCGCAGAGTCAAAATCTAAGCGTGGCCCCTGCAAGCCATGCACTTGCAAAGCCCCCTGATGACAGCCAGGCGTAACTTCCTCCTCAACCACGCAGTGCTCCGGATAGTGGCATAGGACTGGAGCATGACAAGCGATCGCAGGCAAAGGTTCGTACGGGTACAAGGCTAAAACGCGTGCGAGGCACTGGCATGCGGAAACATCACAGCATGCGGAAGTATTCGAGAGCCCGAACAAGTCGAGCTGTGCAACCGTCACCAAATCACCAGGTACAGGATCAAACAACAACAGCGAAAGCTCGCAAGTCGACATATGCAGGTCTGCCAGTGCTTGGGCTAGGTACAGGCAAGCAATACCTCCGCGAGACAGGCCCACCGCATTGACTCGCAAGGCCGGAGGGGTTTGGCAGCTGGAAGCGAGTTCAGCCACCAAGCTGTCGACTTGACGTCGCACGGCGGCACACTGCCTCCTTAAGCCTTTAGCACAAATCGTTCCACAGAAGCCGTCTGTAACTCCACATCCATCAAATGCCATCTTCCTTGCCTGGCTGATGGGCGCTCCACCAAGAGTCCCACCGCTGACGTCGAAAGCGTCCGTGAGGTTGAAGAAGAGACCGATCTGGGTACTGAGGGGCTCGATTGTGTTGGCCGTGCCTTCAAAGAAAACTGTGAGATGTGCGATGCCAGATTGACCTCGGCTAGCAACGCTTAGGAAAGGCTCCGTGTCCGCTGGGCCGCCTGGGCCTTCGGGCCTGGTCGGCATCGCGGCGGAGACACTCAGTCACTCAGTGCTACGCGCTACAGCCGCTACGGCTCGGGAAGCCTGCTGCGAGCCTCTTGCCCGCAGCTTGAGAAGCTGTGCAGAAGTCTCGAAGTCAGAGAATCTGAGAGGCCTAGGCCTACACGTCTGAAGGGGGCTCTGTAGGAATGCAGGAGGCGTCGTGTCCACCGCCTTGGCCAGTCCGCGCTCGCGCCGCGGCCCGCGAAGCGCCATGCACCCGGCATTTTAGACCCTAAGCCTGATGTAGTGAATGCAACGCAAGCACTAGACACTCCCATGATAAACACAATGCAACTCACAACATAGCTGAAGAGTCGCAAAGGTATGGCAGGTGGGGCGGCGACATAACATGCTCTGCCTTTGCAGCCTGGCCGCATTCTGCCCTGGACCGACTGCAACCCTCATGACCCAGCCGAGGCGCAGCTAATAGAGCTAACAACTAACAACCCGAAATCTCATGCTCCCGGGCAGCCGGCCGTGAAGTTGTTGCAGTTTTTGCGAAGCAGGTCATAAGTTTGAGGCCTTCCATGCGCGACTTTCAACATGTCACTGATCGGATTTGAGCACCAGTGGAAGGGGTCTGGCAATGTCAGTTGATCTGAATTGCTCGTGCCGTGCTCCTAAGTATTCAACCAGAACCCGCCGTGCTACCCTCACCTCTCGCTCGGAAGCTCCGGCTTTGAGGGATACCTTGAAGCCTCGAGGCTGCAGACTTTGGATTCGATGGACTGTGCTCAGCCCGTGTTGGCTGTTGAAGCCTTCTGTAAGCCCACCGCTTTCCATTGTGAACCTAACCGTGGCCTGCATAACACACGAAGCCTCCCTGCTATCTGGCGCCGGTTCGGTGGGTTTGGCGTACCAGAACCTTGCTTAACATATGGATGCCGATTGTTGTGCAAGAGTCTCGATTGAAGATCCGAGCTTCTGCACAAATCGCTCAGCCATCGCTGTATGTGGTGGCTCAACGACGGCACGCCAGAGCCTAGTTGTGAGTTGTGAACAGTTCCTGTTGCTGCGATATGCACAATGATACCATGACTGGCATGCAACCGTCGAAACTTGTTCTACTATGAGTTACTATGATGTGTTGTCTGCCAAATTCGGCCAGGCTGTGCAAAGCTGCAGGGCCTTAAGTGTCCCTCCGCATTAGTCTTGTCTGAGGAATCTGCTGGAAGTCTTTGCTCAGCACGTCGAGCAGAACTGTGCCACCCAATGGGCCTGGGAACAGACATGAAGACACAGCAGGATTTTGGCTGCAGCATAGTTTTGGGCCATGCTGTAACCGGTTGGTTGCATCTCGCTACAGGATTCTCAGACTTCCGCGACGCGTAATGTCAGTTCACCGTCATGAACGGTGAATCTCGCCTCACCCTACACATCCTACACAACTTCAGCGGTGATCTGATCTTGCCATCCCTCCATAACCGTCACCCTCGATAGATGCTCGGTAGCCAGCTCTCGCCCACCTGCTTCCGTTGGACACCTCGCCTTAGAAAGAAGAATGAAACCGGCACATGTGCAGCTGAGCGGTTGAGCCAATTGCGGTCCAAGGAACGCCTTCCGGTGGCTGGTAAGTCTTGGGTAACAACGAATCCCGCTTGGTGTGAAATAGTATTCCTGCTCACGGCGGCCGAGCTGCATCGAGAATGCAAGAAGGACACGACAAACCCCACACACCCTGCAGATCAGAGCCCTTGGCTCGCCTCCCCATCCACCAGCACCTGAGTGCGCCATGAAACGTGGCTTCCGCTATGACTCTGTCATGTTCAAACTCTTGAAGCAATGTTGACACTGCTGCTCACCTGACATGGATCCAGCACTGCAGGAAGCCTAAGGAATCGGCAGAGGAGTGATAGCCCACGAGGCCTTGAAGCCCCGCCAAAGGTGAGGAGACCACTTCCACACGATGCCTGCCAGCGCAAGGTTACATGTACAGGCAAAGCTGAGACCATGGCTAAGCCAGAAAGGGGTGCCGTGGGGTTCCCCTTTGAAGCGTAGGGATGTTTGCGGTCCACCCTTGGCCATATTCAGAGCTGCGAAAACCTTGGCCTGACACACCTTCAACTAGCAGCTGGCATTGCCACACACATTTTTTGTCCCGCTGCACACAACATGGGCACCAGGACTCAGCAATTCTTGAGATGCGCCTGCCTTCACCTTGCCTGCAGAATCTCCGGCATCTTCACGTCTCCCCAGTTGCATGAGGCCAGTGACAGAAGCGTTGCTGCTCCCGAATGGCCTGCTGCCGATGTCGTAGAACGAGGGGACCAGCTAGTGGCTTGCAAGCCGAGGTAAACGCGGATTGCGAGGCAGAGCCGGCGAGCGTTTCTGGAAAAGAGGTCTGATAAACTCGCCACCTGTCAAACTGGCATTAGGTCTGGCTTCCTGGCGATGTCGTAGAAGTCCTTTCCCAACTGCTTGAAGAGGCCAGGGAAATCGAAAATCGCCCAAGCCTCCCGGACCCTGCCATCCTCCACTCGCCAGTGCATTCCGAACCTCAAACTGAGACGCCTCTGACTCGCCACCTGCCGACATGCTCGCCCCAGAACCTCCCACAGGCTGCACAATAGTTGCCCTCGCAAAACAACATGTCCTTCTCCACCCGGCGCTTGGCAAAAGCTGCACGAAACGGCTGAATCACCTTCGATCCAAAGATGTCAGAAGAAAAGAAAGGTTGACAGCTGACATCGCAACAGATAGCAACCAGCCGGGCAAAGTCGTCTGAGTATGGTCTTTTGCATCCTCGTTGCGAGATTTTGGTAAACTTCTCGGCGTCTGGCGAGGCCAATGCCACCGGGGCCGTAGAAAGTGAAGTCGTCGTGGAGCCAATGTTCACTCCTGCAGTACAGAGCATGCTGAAAGCATGCGGGCAGTTTATATTCGGGCAGGGTTCTTCGAATTCGCTCGATCATGCATGTCCCGCACACGCATACACCGCATACACGTCCACGGGGCGCACTTGTCCTGCACCCTCTGCATGCAATCCCTGCAGTGATCACAAGCTCCCAGATGTGCTGGCTGGCACGCCCGAAGAGCCGCAATAGCAGAACACAACCCTGGTTTCTGCTGCTGCAATTTATCTTACGTACAGATGCAAAGCCGTCGTAACCTCTCTACCTTTGCTTTGGAGGTGACCGTCTTGGGCTCTACACTTGGAAATCCAGCGGCTCAAAATCTACAAGCAGGCTCCTTTCGTCGTTTGCCCACTCATTCAAGGCTGCTTCTGCAACGAGCTTCGCTTCCGTACTATTGCGACCGGCCACCTGCAGCAGGCTTGGCTCTGTGTCCTTGTAGTTCATCCGTGTAGCACAAAGGCTTCGGCAATGCTTGCAAGAAACACACACTCACACACGCGCTCGCAATTAAGTGCATTAGCTCTTGCTTACGCTCGAGCAGCCGACAATTCACGACGCAGCATACACACTACTAAACCACTGCAAACCAAGACGCTTAGTAGGTTTGTGTGGGACTGTGTGGGTAATATTATCGAGGGCCCCTTTGATCCCGTTTGCATGCAACAACTCGCACAGTCGACGTTGAGACCAAATCTTCCCCCACCCCATGTAACGAAGCAGATGGTGCCCGAACACTCAGACAGCGCTCCGACAGCACCTGAAAGTCTGTGCGAAAGCAACACCAAAAGCTCTCGAGGAGCCTCCCACAATGACAGCAATGACAGAAATACTGCGATTCAGCTGCTGTTCAAAACTGGCATCGCTTTGATGTGACCCTCGCTAAGACTGAAGCGCCTGAACTACTGCGCCGTGCATCGCTGTGCCCGGTAGCTTCGTGGATCTCAACTCGCACTTTACAGCTCGCTTTGTGGCTCTCGGTCGCTCTCTGGACACAAAGTTTCATGTCAGGTGTCTGGCAATGCCGCAAACGCCTACTGGTGATGATCTGCGGAACTTCGCCACTGTTTTCACCCGATCCTTGCTCACAGCACATCTGGACAAGGACGGCCCCCTTCCTGTCATCGTCCCTGAACCCTTAGCTGAGCACCCGGTCCGTGACACTACGTTTCTTTGGCGAGTCTGTAAGGCAATGGTCGATGCAGCCCAAAGCAGCTACCATTTTTTTGAACCTGCGCCGAGGCCGCGGCGTGTAACGGGAAGGGCGTACACTCGTGCTGTCATGGGCAGCCGAGTAAGCCCGAGAACAAAACACGACTGAGACTACTCAAACCGACCTGGAACACAGTCTTGCAATGGTGGCTGGAAACAGTTCAGGTACTGGAAAGCATCCGGACATCTCTACAACAAGCTGGCTGACGAATATCTGGAATTGAAAGTACCTTCAGCAGCGGCTGATGTCTTGGAGGCCGACAGTGTCAGTAATGTACTAAAGTCGGACTGCAACAAAATTCGCAAAACTGGAACTGAAACAGCTCCGGAAGGGCTGTCAAAAGCTCCGGAAAACCCACATCGGCAACTGAGCCACTCGTCGCTCTTCTTCAAATTTCCCTGGTTTGCCGGCTCAAATCGGCAGCGGCTGCGAAGGTCTCAGATATCTTGTCCTCGCCCGCAAAGCAGCTCGCAATGCCACAGCAAGCTTTGCGCATGTGCGTGGTCCACATGTCGAGGAATCCCACGGCGTACAGAAAGGCGAAAGAACCGCCCAACCGCCCAACCGCACCGACATCTTAGTGATCAGCGTGAGTTCCCACAGAAAGCTGAGGTGCGTAAAGACGGTAATCCATGTTCCAGCCACTGCAACGGCAGTCAGCTACTGCAATCTACTGCATATTGAACTGATGAGCACGCACATAATCCGTCTGCTCCACGAGCCTCCGGAGCACAAGCGGCCAGTGAACAGCAGCAAGTTGGGTGGCATCGAAGGTGATGGCCCAAAATGGTCGGATCAAGTACTCGATGCTCTGTTCCCGACGCGCACTGTAGACCTCCAACGACATGATGTTTCCAACCAAATGTCGAGCCATCACACCACAGCCATGCAGCAAACCAAGGACATGCACCACGATCATCAGCGATGTGTACTTTCGCCACGATGCAGAGCACCGCGAAGACGTTGAACAGCCTGAACCAAGGCATCAGAATCACGTACTCCTCCATGTTGAGGTCCTGTTGGCCTTTCGACGAGGGCTGCGTCCAAATCCTGCAGAACATCACTACTGTATGAATCCCGACAGCACCTCCGATGGGAAAATGTCGGCAAAGAACACCATGCCCACACTTTTGTGGGCTTCTTTGTTCTGGAATGGTGACCTCACGAATTGGTGTACCAATAGCAAGGTCATTACCACAGACACCACGTCGTGGAGCACGATCATTGGCGCGAGGATGGGGTGGTGAGTCGCGTTGTTGCCCAATAAGGTCCCGCTTAGCTCCACTTGCGACAAGTCCAAATTGTGATACTGGAGGATACTGCCAATGGTGCATGCCAACAAGAGGGCACACGAAATTAGTCTGAATTTCATCGGAAGCTCTTGTGACTGTGCACAAAGCCGTGGGCCGCCGGATCTACTTTGATGTGCTGAGCCAAAATTCCTAAGGCGGTTAAGGGGCCCTGACCTAAACTCTCGGAACCACTTGCTGGCAGAGTCACCATCACAGAAAGCGGTGCAGGAACTCCATCATTCGCGGCTGCTGTTAAGACCTGGGTGGAACCCGAGACACCATCCCCCTTCAATCATCAAGCAGGGCATTGCCACGTGCTCCCAAGGACTACCCCCACCCAATCAAGGACAAGATTTCAAGGATGCCAGCTGCAGCAAGTGCTGTTTTCACTCTGTATGGGTATTCGGTGATGTGTCACATTTCAGCCAGATTTTAGCATTGTGGTGAATCGAATATTTGGCTCATAAGTTCCTGGAGTTGACAGCTCCACCGGCTTGACCAGTAGGGAAAGCATTGCGAGGGCATGGCAGCGACTGGTGTTCTTCAAGCACTTGTGACACGCCGGGGCGCCAAGCCCTCTGGCAGCGGTGCAGGCGGCAGCACTGGACGTCCCACTTGGCGAAAAAGATCGGCCCAGTCGATCATCATGAGATTCCTTGAAACTTTTTCTCAGCATTGCCCTCGCTTCGAGCAAACACATGAGCTCTGCTACAACAGCTTACATCTTCAGTCACGTTTCCAATTCAACAGCCCTTGGCCAGGGCCGGTGTGGCGAAGACTGTAGAAGTCCAGCACCCTAAAGTAGACCCATGCATTCTGAGCTGGTATCCCGAACAGCTCCGCAACCCAGCGCACGTTGCCATATGATGTGGTCGTTGCGTGGCGCATGTCGCCAAAAAAGAGCATCTGTGAGAAGATCGATGGGTGAAAGGCACGGCGGAACTCCGACTCCTCGCCCCCGAAGACCCAGTCTTTCAGGCCATGGGTTGTAGGAAACCCCACCGTCTCGTACCTGACATGCGACATGCCAATGCCCGGAAGAATCAACTGAACCAGTGATCCGCGAACCCTCTCTCTCTCTCTCTCTCTCTCTCCTCTTCCACACAGACAAAGGAAGGGGCGCTCCCCTCCCCCGCACGCAAGCGCGCACTGCCAGTCTCTGTCGATTTGTGAAAACCAGCAGGATGCAGCAGGCGGATGTCACCTCTCCGAACCTCAAATCCCCGAACCTAAAGACCAACCACCCCCCTGCCGCCGCCTCATCTTAAGGCCAAAACGGGCTCTGTGCCCCCTTTCGCCGTCTGTTGGTCTCTCTCTCTCTCTCTCTCCTGGGCATAGGGACGGGTCAGCGTCCCCGGGCCAGAGTGGCCCACCTCTCTCTCTCTCTCTCTCTCTCTCTCTCTCTAAAAAAAGCGATACAACATGATACAACTAAGTTTCAACAAGATGATTGCACTGGCAACCCTTGGGGCAACAAGCGGTGAAAACAGGTTTGAATCTCAGCTGGAGATGCCCGTGCTCCCACCTGAACATGTACGTAGGAATGTAGGAAACATCTGGGCGCGATGTCTCCATTGCGACCGGCTTAATGTGTTCGTTCTGGAGTCCACATGACACCCCTACGCCGTACGCATCGCCGCGCCTACAAATCTGCCAGGAATCTTGTAGACACAGTGAAGCCAGCTACCACTGAGGTAGTTCACGCGAGATCTGCGAGTCGAGCAAAACATCAAGCAGGCAAGCATAAATTGAAATGTATGTATGTGTACTTGTGCATGCAAACATACCTGCATACAGAGATACAGGCATACAGACAGATGGACGGACGGACAGCCGGACATTCATGCAAGCATACATACAAAAATACATACATAAATACATACATAATCATACACACACCTGTACATACCTATATATATATATATATTATAGCGTCAGAAAGAAGCGGGAGCTGTTAACATCCCCTGGCCCGTAGGCCTACCCCCCAACGGCCTGCGCCAGTGCGAGACTCGGCCCCTATTCGGGGATGTCGGGGATGTGAGTACGTCCCCCTGAGTGTACCAGTTGTGACCCAGACTCCAAAATACCCCTCCCAAGACCATCACACGTAATGAACCTTCGTCTGGTCCCACTCAGGTCATCCGTGGCTCACGAAGGAACGGCACAAATAGCTGACGCTACCTCTGGCACTGCCTCCATCAGTCCTCCTGCTGTTGGCAGGAGCTCCACTCCCCCAACAAGCGGTGAAAACCCCCAGCTCACCTGCCTCCCCACCTGACACCCAACAGAACTTTGCACAGCACTGCCTGACCTTTCCACCCACAACCCTGAACCTCGAACCAGCTTGCCCACGCCCCTGCTGTTTGCTTGCGTGCTTGCTTGCTCGGCATTTCGGGCAAGGGGAAAACCCCCAAAACCTTGTGGCTCGCGTCCGTTCGTCCTCGAGGCCCCTATTCGGGAATGAAGATGAATGAAGATCTCTCTCTCTCTCTCTCGCTATTCTGTGCCAGGGGCTTGAGGCGACCCCTTCGCAGTAAGCAACATCTCACTCTCTCTCTCTTTCTCCCTCCCTCTGTTTCCGTATCCACGTATACAGAAGCATGTAGGATGAAGGCCCGAAATGGCCCGAAGTGTCCCAGTGCTGAAACATCCTCAAAGCCTCGCAGTCCAGTTGATTACTACAGTACGTAGTAGTTCTGGAGCACGTCGTCCTCTTCATCAGACGAGACACTCAAACTCAGGGGCCAGCCACTGCGAGACGGCTTCGAATTTTTGTTCCTGACTAGGGTGTCTTTCCGAATGCGTGCTGTCTGTCTTATTTGTTATAACCCCGTTATGATCAAAGGGTGGAGGAACAGACTTATGACTCACACACCTTGGCTTCCCTCCTCGACTGCAAACCCGAGGGAGCTTCGGGAATCGCCCGGCTGGCAAGTTTACAGCTGAGACTCGCTCGTTGCAAAGGCAGCTTGCATCATGAGATACTGGTCGAAGTTGCGCACGATGTGTTTGGCCAGTGGCTCTTCTGCAAGCACTGGCGAAACGGGCATGGAACAGGTCGGACGGTCCTGCCAGGGGACTCAGCAACGGAACTGACTGAGCCCGGACACTGTCAAGCGCTGTTGAATTTTGAATGATGACCTCAAACTGCAGCCATGCACTAGCCATGCCCAGCTCCTCTGTGAAGGCCACCTCCACGGTGCCGGAACGTGCACCGGATTCGTCTTTAACTTTAAACCCGACAGCTGTTCCGACCAGGCTGCTTACCGTCGCTGTGCACAGAGCAATGTATGCCACGTGTCGCCAAGATGCCAGCCTCAAGCGTCTCAAGTAGTGGCTCCGGGCAGTCCGCGTGATTAGTGATTGCAGTCACTCCGAAAACCAAACCCGGCAGGATGGACGTAGCACATCTTAACCTTAAACCCTGGTTGTGATTTTGCTGATCCTTTGAAATCAGAGCTGGTGGTTGTTGCTGCAGCGTTTTTCGTTTTCGGCTGGTGGAGGAAAGCTGCAGCCACACCCCGCTAGCTCCTTTCAACGGCCGGCTGAGAAGCATCGAGTCAGCATCAATCAGCCAAGAGGCGGTTGATTTTCGCTCCAGCCCGGGGACAGAGAACGGTAGCCATGTTCCTCATCTTGCTCAATCTCCTCAGTGGCAGTGCCTCGCGCCATGCGCAGCCTTCCAGCTGCCACCACCGTTCAAAAGGAGATTTGACTTCCTAAGGCAGAAACCCCCGCTGGGTGGCAAGTGACAGAATAAAGCCCGCACGGAAAACTCGCGCCACACGACTTGAGCCAAAGACTACGTCGTCGTACAACGCCATGGCTTCTACCAGGGGAACTCAGGTCTTACCTGATTATAAGAGTCGAAGAGCTCGCGGTTCCGATTGACTCATGCAGAACTCTGCTGCTGTCAAAAGGCCTTCCGCTGTGGAGCTGCAGTGGACGCGGCAGCGCGGGTCGCCTTCCCAGGATTGGATGCCGAGGGAGCGTTGAGAAGCTTGTTGAACAAAAGGGCGAGGCATGGAAGCTCTGGGTGCCCAGTGTTGTTCCAGTTTCTCTGCCACTCTCTTCGAGCGGTTCTTGGACGGGACAGCTGCGTTTAGCAAGGGCATAGGATCAACCGTGGCGCTTGCATGCAGCACCTGACCGTTACAATGCGGCAGCGCCCCCCGATGTCCAAGGCGACGACATGGCGACTCAGAACTGTAGAACTCAAAAGGCCTGCTTCGCTGTCTGGAGTTGCGCCGCCGGTCACCAAAGGAGCTGTCCTGATGAGTTCGATGGCCAGGTCAGGCCATTTTCCCCAAACGTTGAAACTGTCAGGCTCTGTGGGTCACCTAAGTGGCTCCAATGAGCCCTTTCAGCCACAGATCCCAAAAGGTGTGGGGGTCCGTACATTCATAACAAACAACCCCCGACCATGACAGATTCTGCCCAGTAATTCAGTGCTACTGTAAGGTGCCAGAAGGTGTTATGTAATTAGTCGAGAGTTGTGTAAGTGTATTTACTTAAGTTAACCGATTCGCTGCATGTTCGAGGCTTTGAGACCAGCGAATCCGAAGCCGCAGCTCTTCGTCCGCCTGGTCTGGACGGCAAGGCTCGCAGGTCAGGCACGGCGTCACCTCAGGCTTCTACAGGTGGTGACAAACAGCAAAACAGCCTTCGCGAGTCACCATTTGTTTGTTATTTCCTTGTTGACCTCCTGGGAAAGTTTCGGAAGGTAGTTGAATGAGTGCGTCGCTGATAGAGCAGAACGAGCACAAGCGGGATCCTAAAGTACTTCGGCCACCAAGTCAAGCGCCATCGACTGCAGCCACCAGGGCCAGGACATGGCGTCTGCTGCGGCAAGGATGCACGACAAGAGTGCAAGAGCGTCTGTGGTGAGGCGCTCCTAGTCGTGAAGCCACTTACGATGATATCACTAGGTTCTAGACAATGGCTGAACACGTGTGCACATTTAGCCTTTAAGTACCTTGCAGTAGTACATGCACGATAAAACCTTTCTCGAGCGGAGACAAATCACAATAGATATGGGAGGCTTGCAGACTCTTCGTGCAGAACACGAAGCAATGGATTGCCACCTTTCTGATGGAGACATGCGCATCTTCCATGATCGCATGCCGGGGGCTTTGACCCGTCAGGCTACGCAGGAGGTCTTTACGAACTCTTCCAGGCCCCTCTTCATCAATGCTGTTGGTTTACTTGTTGCAGCACACACGGGATTGTGAAGAGGGTGCAACTTGGAAAGTCACACAAACCAGCGCAAGCAGCTCGTCGCCGACAGGTTATGAACCTGTGAACCGCCGCCGGTCTTCACGGCCCTTGTCGTGCGGCGCCACTGCGACGTTCTCGCTATGAGAGCATGCACTTCTCGAGCTCTTCTCAACAAGGCAGAAACTTCCGGAAGTCGGCGTTGGAGAGGTTTGTTGGGGCAGCCTGCATGGCAAAGGCTTGCCGAAGCACGCGAGACGCTTTCCACGGCAGGTTTGCGGCACTTGCAACTTGAGAGATGCACACATGCTCGCAACGCAAGTTCTGCAGTCACGTTTTCCACTCCTCTGAGCCAGCGAGACTTGGTAAGTTTGAACTTCTTTTGTGGCCTTTTGAGAGGACTTGTCCTGACGTCCGACAGACCAAACCTTCTGGCATGTCTCTCCATGCCTCTCGTCGAGGTATAGCTGCGGAAAATAGAAGCTAGGCCCACCTATCGCAGGCGCTCTTCTATGACTCTGCGTGCTTCTCCTGGTCATGACGAGATGCGGGGACTGTGCAGCGCATTGCTGACTGGTCACATGACATACGACGAGTGAAGACTGAGCGATCATTGTGGCAAGTGACATGGTGTGGCAAAGGTAGTGAAGCAGTCCTTCGTAGAGCGCGGCGGTGTGGGTTGCAACGCCTGCCCGAGCACACCCTTCACAGACCCGTGCTACCGTGCTATGCGTCAGTGCCACTGTGAGTATAGAACCGTGTCTGCAAGGACCTTCGGCAGCACAAGGTAGCGCCAGCCGGGCAAGATCACAAGCACCTAGGTTGTCGGGTCATGTGGGTCTTGTCGACCTCGGCCTAGGAAACAGCCGCAGCCTAGGATCGCAAAATTTGAAAGTGATGCTTGGTAATGCTCGGTTGTGATCGGCCGGCAGTGCAAGTGGAGTCAGCCGCCAAGTAGCGGTCACGATGCTGATGAGGACCTGGTCCTAGCGTAAGCTCGCGACAAGGGACACCACAACTGGTGCAGGCTAAACAGGTTGTCGCTCGGGATTTCTCATACCTCGGTTCACTTGGCATCTGCGTCACCACCCAACAGCCCCACGCGTTGGTGGCAGACCTCGTTGTCGAAGAACTCGTGATTAACCAAATCCCAGCGGCTGAGATGGTGCACTATCCTGACAAACACTTGGTGCACATAAGCCGACACATCTCATGATCCTCAAGAAAGAGGCAAAACACGAATAGAAGTTGACACTCCAACAGATGATCGTGATTAGGCTAATCCTCAACACTCACCGACCCGGCGGCGCAGCGGGGTACTTACCGAGAGCAGAAACTGGCCCGAATTCAGCCACGGATCTCATGCGAAGCCGCCGCGAAGGCCTTCTCCTTGCCCAGCTGACAGTGAGTAATGTGGGAGATGGTAGAATTCAGCTAGACCACGACAGCGTATGCCGCAGGCGTTTGAAGTGGTATTGCTCCTCGTTTTGGGGTTCACCCTCCCAGCAACCACTTCCAAGATCGTCCGAACATGCGGCGGTCTCCAACACGAGCAATCACACTAACTAACTCTTATACTCCTGAACTACTGCCGCTTCCTGTGGGTCAAGGACCGAGCGGGAACGATGCCAATCAGCGGGTGTAACAATAGAAGCAACATGTGCACCTTGCCAGCCATCCTCGCCGCCAAACACCGGCATTCCACACCCTCCTTTGCAATTTCAGAGGCTCCTGCGTGAGGCTACGGGTGTTCCTCCGAAAATGGGGCTCGACAGCAGAGCCACGAAAAACTGGGTGTCGTTCGACGCTTTCGGTGTGTACCGGCTTCCCCCTCCTCCTTCGTAGGACCGCACCGGCTCGCTTGATACATCGTTTCGAGTGCAGCCCCTTGCACCTTTGCAGTCATTATGTGCACAGTGGCCGCTGACTGGTCCTCTCCCATTGATGAAATCGCCCTTCCTCGCCGTGTCCGGCACACAAACCGGATCATGCACCTGAAGGCGAGCTGGCATCCTTCTATGAAATCTTCGTCGTCTGAACTGCCAGAACCCCAGTCGTTGTTCTCCATTCTGCTCTCTTCAGCCAGGTTCCCACTGTCTGCGCTCGTAGCACAGGGGTGAAGTAGATTCACCACCCCCGTGCCGGACTGGCGACTCCAACCTTGATCCTCAAAAGCGATCATATGTGGCAGATCGGGGAGACCGCAGTCTTTCCAAGTGTCCCTTCGAAGTTTCTCCCTTCTCAAGACCTATAATAAGTTGTCTACCAGGCTTCCTTCTGACAGCCACATATTTTGAACTCATCGCATCACTCGGCTGGCTCCCCGTGTCGTGCCTGAACTGGACTTTGTTCATGATGTCTCAGGGGGTCGCTCGGTCTCATCGGCCGGAATCAACCCCGGAATCAAGCCGTGTGTCCAGTGAAGCATTCAGGCAGATTCCTCTGCTAAAGTGCCCAAGTGTAAGCCTGGACATGTGGGGCGAGGCCGAGAGTGTTAGATGCAATACTACTGCAAGGACAACGGCGACTAGGTTCGGTCTTATGCAGTTGCACACCGATTCGATGCTATGACCCGGCATGGAGACACTAGACCCTGGAAACTCTTCAAGCTCTGCGCCCTCCTAGTTTTGTCTTGGTCGGGTCGCTTTCGCTTTCTCGTTCCTTTCTCTTTCGTCCTTCCTCAAACTCCGTTCCAGAACTAGCACGAATTCTCTCCATGTGGATTCGGTAAGGAAGGCAAGTACATGCTGGGACGGCCCCCCCCCCCCCCCGGGTAGAGCCCGAACCG